GTTTTGCCTGCAATACTACATTCTAACCACTATGCCACCATGGCTCATGAAATGAAATACTAGTATAAGCCTTTGGATATATTTAGTTCATATAAAGAAGTAAAAATAATGTATGTAGCTTCCCAAGTCCATAGATCCCAAAGTATAAAGGACTTGGGTCTAGCTAATCTAAACAAAAGAAGAAATATGGGATACATAATAGCAGTATTCCAGTATTTGAGGGGCTGCCACCAAGAAGAGGGGGTCACATTATTCACCAAAGCACCAGAGGGCAGGACAAGAAACAATGGTTGGAAACTGATCAAAGAGAGAAGCAACCTGGAATTAAGGAGAAATTTCCTGACAGTGAGGACAATTAATCAGTGAAATAGCTTGCCTCCATCACTGGAGGTTTTCAGGAAGAGGCTAGACTGTCACTTGTCTGAGATGGTATAGGTTCTCCTGCTTGAACAGGAGGCTGGACTACAAGACCTCCAAGGTCCCTTCCAGCTCTATTCTATTCTATTCTATTCTATTCTATTCTATTCTATTCTATTCTATTCTATTCTATTCTGAGAGTACACATGCTGCAGAATGCACGGGAAAGGGCAGTTGACTCATCTCTCTCTCTCTCTCTCCCTCCTGCAATTCACTAAAGCCTGTCAAAAGCTAAGCTGGAAGGAAGCCTGTTCCCTGGCTTTCCATCATATGTCAAGATAATGGAGTCAAGAAAAGTGATGACGGAAGGAGAAAGAAACAAAGAAGCTTTCAAACTTCCACATTTTTACAAGCACAGAGGTAGATGGATTTAGCAAGAATTTGCATGCTGGCTGTCACCACCCCCCCCCCAATGATGCAAAGACAGGACACACACACCCACACACACACACCACCACCACCTCCACCATTTAATGGCAAGCCAGAGCAGAAGTTATAGAAGAAGGATAGGGCTTAGCAGCAGGAGTCAGCAAATTTTTATGCTGGTTTGGATTTTTCATGGCTCACAGATGGAAGCACAGCCCTCAGCGGCTCAGCCTTAGCAGTAACCGTTGAAGACTCTGCCCCAAGTATCAGATTCTGAACTGGAAACTTTGGAACTGGAGACTATCTTCCATACTGAACTCCTAAGGCAAGTTCAGTAACCAGGACTTGTAGATACAGAATAGGCCCATTGTCTGATATTGACAAGCTATAACTCCCAAATGCTTCAGACAAGATGGCCAAGAGTAAGGGATGGCTGGAATAGCTAGATCAATTTTTGTCAAGCTTGGCAATCTTTAAGACTTCAACTCCCAGGATTCCTCAGCCAGCATGGGAATTTTGGAAGTTAAAGTCCATATATCTTAAAGTTGCCAAGATTGAAAAAACACTGACTGAGAGAGCCACAGGTTCCTTACTATTGATATAGGGAAGTGCACAAAGATTCCTTTTCCATGTAGGTCAATCTTACAGCTAGGTTCCTCTTTTAGTAATTTAGCCAGATTTTTGTTTTGTTTTTTTAACCAGGATCCTTAAGAATATAGTAATAGCAATAGCACTTAGACTTATATACTGCTTGGGCTTCCAGTTCTGCGCAGTTTAGCACAACAGCCGAGGGATCGCAGGCTCCATGCCCTACGACTGATTTATTTCTGTTTGGGGGCCCTAAATGGGCCAAAAGCTGCCCCAGAGAGATGGCAAGGAAGGAAGGAAGCCCCATTGATCCTGGGGAGATGGTGGTCGATCCGGACGTCTGGGGAAAGCTCTCCAAAAACCAACAAAAGAAAGGCTAGTGTCATTCATGAATCTAGCCCAAGCTACATGCAGCCAAAGCCAAACAACACTAAACTAAGCGTGATTGTAAACAGCGTGACAGAACTGGGTAAGAATATTGATTTTCTCTCTTCTACCTGACTGATTTCCTGAGGAAAAAAAAAAGAAAAACCCCGGAAGTAAAAATCCTCTGAAAGTGAGGGGGGGTGTCTTTGTTCCACTCTCCTCTAAACAGAAGCGGCTAATTAAGTTTGGGGGGTGGGGGAATTGAAAGATGGACTGGTGCTGACATCTAATGGTGGATGAAAATACTGCCCTAAATATACAGCCCAGAAAGAGAAGCCTGTTGTCGTGACCTTCAAGGTGTTGATTAAACAAAGAACAGTTGGACTATCTACAAACTGAGAACTACAAAACTTAGAAAAAAATTGACCTTCCTGGATTATATTTTTTAAATTGTGACTTTAAAGTGATTGGCAGAGAAAGGAGTTTTGGTCATTATGGAGCATCAGAGATCGGCAGAAAGAACATACCAAGCAAAAATAAATACCAGGAGGAAATGTTTGTTCTGTTACAACAAATGCAAATGACATTAACTTCAAACTATGAGGAAAATAAAAATGAATTTGAAAATTTAAATGAATGTATTCTCAATTTAATGTCACAACAATAAAATGATCAGAAAACAAAAAATGAGAGAGATCATGTAAAGCAGACAACTGCACATAAGCTAGTGGAGATTCAAGTGGAGAAAAACTTATAAGAATCATTGAACATTGAAAAGATAACTAAGATCACAAAGGAAATTTGAGGATAAGGAAAAAGATTTGACAAAATGGATTGCTGAGCTGTTGGGAGTACCACAAGAAATGGGGAGACAAGGGATGATGAGAGAAATCGTCAATGAATATGAAGGGGCAAAATCTTTTTACAAAGACATGATGTTTGATTTGTCTACTATATCCACAACAACATTTACAAGATTATGGAAAGACTCTTTGATGCAACAGAATATATTGATTGGGAGAGACGCTTGGCAAAAGAAGAGGGCTAAAGTGAGAACAGAAGAATTGGATGATGGGTTGTATCAGAGGGAATATTTAAAAATTAAACACTTGTTTGAATGTGGCTGAAGAAATTGAAAGATTTTAGTTTAAGAGGGATGGACTCTCTAAGACAGTATATTTTTTTCTTTTCTTTTTCAATATGAGAACTATAAAAATATGGGGAATTATTAACATAAAGGAAATGTTTTAGATATTTAAATGTAATTGATTTTAAGAAAATTCCAATGGATAACTAAAAATGGGAAAAATGTTTTGAATAGAGTTTATTAAATGGAACATTTAAAGATTTATTAAATGGAACATTTAAAAATTAAACATAGAAATAATTAAACACAGAAAGAATTTGGAAATAAGTATATTCTAATTCAAGAGGGATACATATTTTAAGTAGTATATTAATTTTTTTCTTTTTCTTTCCTCTCCTTTTTCTCTTCCCCCCCCATGTCTTTTTTTTTCTATGTCTTTCTTTTGTGTCTTTTTCTTACTTATTTTTTAAGATATGAAAATAGATTTAAATACTTTAAGGTAATTAATTCTGGGAAAAATTTAACCAGTAGAAATGTTTTGAACATTGTAGGGAAAATAAAGTTAAATAAGAATTGTAAACAAGATTTGTGACGAGGCAACCAAGATGACCAGATAGAAAAGAAGCATGATATTGATGAGATTATTATTGGTAAAAATTTTAGAAAAACCTTTATATTTAATTGTTACTTATCAAATTAATAAGAATTGTATTAATTTAGGTTGCAAAGAGGATATTATTGGAAGAAGAGAAAATCAAGCAAAGCTATAATGTGGATTTTGAAATATAGAAATTAATCAATAGTGATTACTTCGTAAATATAAACCCAGACAACACGCTGTTTACCAAATATCAAGATGTTTATATTAAAAAATCAATAAAATATATATTTAAAAAGACTTATATACTGCTTCATAGTGCTTTACAGCCCTCTTTAAGCAGTTTACAGAGTCAGCATATTTTCCCCAACAATCTGCGTCCTCATTTTACCGACCTCGGGAGGATAGAAGGCTGAGTCAATCTTGAGCAGCTCAGAATCAAACTAATGGCAGTTGGCAGAATTACTGGATTCTACCTCTGCACCACCACACATATAAAGAAAAGATAGCAAGCAACAAGTATGATAGTGCACATTTGCCACCATAATTTTATCAGGGCTGCTTCAAATATGAATGTTACCTATTAGCTAAATATCAAGTGATCAAAAGTTTATGACCTTTTCTGATCTTAGCAAAGTGGATAGGACATAGATAACAGAAATGGTTATTAAAGAAGTATTATATTAATCTTGAGCCCAAGGTGGAGTAAATTCTCTCCCAGAAACCATAAATACACAAGCCACTAGGGGTTTGCTTTTACCTGGGAGAAAAGTTTGGACCACACTGAGGACTACGTATACTCCTTAGCTGACAAATTTGCGGGTAGTTGTATGGGTCCATTTAATATAGCAACAGGAACAAAAGCCTACATAAAAAACCTGTATGAAGATTTTACCTAAAAATGTCAAAGTTTGGAGTAAGATTCAGTATGCTAAAAATACCTACATATCTTAAAAGCTTGCTTCACAAAAGTTGGTTAGTCCATATAATAGGATTATTCAAGTGTGGATTTTGTATCCATTTGTCAAATAAGGAAAACCTGCGTTCATACTTTGGTAATATCAGCTCTATTTACAAAATGTTTTTTGTGGGGCCACCAAAAATAGTGCTGAAAAAATAATAAAGATGGCAGTAAAGAGTAAGAAGTTTTAATGTCTCTCTCCTGCCACCTAGCGGGCATCTTGTTTTTTGCAAGTGAGATCCAATTGCCCTACTTTCTGCGGGAAAACCATTATGTAGGAAACCAAGGGATAGCAACATGGCAAAATAAATAATCTTTGTAAATTCATAGAAAAACTATATGGTTATGGCTCCAGACATTCCTCTATTCCCCAACGAGCTATACAATCCTCATTTCGAAGATAACATTTTATTAGCTATTCTTTTAATATTTATGCATCTATAATCTTCCTATTATCCCCTTCCAACTTGCATATAGTATCATGACTATTTTAATTTGATTTGAATACATGAAAGTAGTGTTTTGTTAACTAAAAAAGGGCAGAAACTCAAAACTTTCAGAGCATCTAATTTTAGAATGGGAAGAGGATGTCAATGATCCCAGATTAATACAAAATGTTCAGAATTGGAATTTGTTGTTTATTTAATGCTTGTCCAATCATTTTAAAATTATAATTCAAATCCTGGAAAGGGAATAGTTCAGTACTGGAAAAACCTTTATCAGTAAAGGTATTTTTTTTAAAGACAGCACAGTTTGATGGATCTAATATAGACATTCTTTGATGGATCTAGTATAAACATTCTTATTATGCTTGATCACATCATGCCTTTATACATGCATGTATTATTGTGCACATACCAATGTGTATGTCTAGTCTGTCACCCCACAATATACTTCTTCTTTTGATTAGTATCTTCATAACCTAGCCTAGAGCTGTGATGGACATCGATGCCCTTTTCATCACATACATTTGCTGCTCCCTTAAGAGAAGGGTCAATGGCTCTTGCTGTCATTCAATGTGGACTGCTGCCTTCCATGAAGAAGTTATGGAGATGTACCGACCACTGCTGGGGTCTCAGATGCTTGTCTGAAGGTCTCCATTGAGCAATGTTCTCTGGGTTTCTGTCGCTTCATTGAGCCTGGACTTATCCTGCTTGCTGTCACTCCTGTCCGTTTCGTCCATGCCACCAACTTTCATCAGGCAGAGGACATTCTGGAAGCTCTTCTTGAAGTTGTCAGACAGAAAGGCATAAAGGATGGGATTGGCACAGCTATTTGCATATGTGAGGACCACCACAAAATCAAACATGCCCTTGAGGGCAGGTGTTGGCACAATAAACACCGAGACTGATGAGACATTGAAGATATAGAAAGGCAGCCAGCAAAAGATGAAAACAGCAACAACAATGGAGACCATCCTGGTGACCTTTTTCTCTGACTTTTTCCTCTTGGAGGAACCTACCCTAATGCCAGATGATTTCACCTTGATGATGATGAAAAGGTAACAAAGGCAAATGATGGTTAGGGGTACTAGGAAGCCAAGAATAAAGGCATAAATGATGAAGCCAGCGTACCAAGCACCAGACTCATCTGGCCAAATCATGGTACAACTACTGTTTCCGTGATTATTGATCACTCCAGCATATATCATGATGGGCAATATGACCAGAAGAGAGATGCCCCATACAGCTACATTGACCATCTTTGCTGTTCTTGGGCGCCTCCATTTAGCAGATTTTATGGGGTGTACTACAGCAAGATACCTATCCATACTCATGACTGTGAGGCAAAAGATGCTGGTGAACTGATTGATTCCATCCACTGTCATGACGATCCGGCAGATGACTTTCCCAAAAGGCCAGTGAACTAGAGCCACCTGCACAGCCAGGAAAGGCAAGCCCAACATAAACAGTTCATCGGCTATAGCCAAATTAAGGATGTAGATATTGGTGATCGTCTTCATCTTGGCATAGCGGAGGATGACGTAGATGACTAGAGTATTTCCACAGAGACCCACAATGCACACCACAAAGTAAATAAAGGTGAGGATGGCATTGCTAGTCAAGTCATAGTGGTGGCTTGTGATGTTGATGGAAATATTAGTAGCCCGAGTCTCTGGGGAGAAACTGTCGAACTGAGAAGTTGAGGGGAACCAGAAGACTGTGGTGTTGGGCAACTCGTTATCCTGATCCATGATGCAACTGCTGTCACTGTCTGCCTGGTAAGAAATCTTCTTCAAGCAAAAGAACAGGCCATCTTGATTGAGTCAGTGGTATCTAAGCACAAAATAAATGAGAAATAATTCTTTATTTGATCTCTCATATGAATTCTATCTCATTTAATGATTAATCTGGATATTATCTGTAACAGAGGAATCTCAGCATAGGCCACCGAGTATAATTCTCCCATTTATCTGGTCCTGAGATTCAACAAGAGAGCAAAATCTGCTGCCAACAGTCTTTAACAGCCCCATCATTTACCACAGATGAAGTGAATAGGATTTCCCACTGGAAAAAAAGACATGAGAGATAATCATTGTGTCCTCAGACTAGTCATGCTGCTTCAAAAGGTCCCTCAGCCTCCCTTATGAACTTTTCGGGAGATGCTAAAGCTTAGAATAGTGTTTCCCAAGCGCAGCAATTTAAAGATGTATAGACTTCAACTCCCAGAATTCCTCAGCTGCATGTTGGCTGAGGAATTCTGGGAGTTGAAATTTACAAATTCAAACTGCTGAGGTTGAGAAACTTTGGCTTACAGCAGGGGTGTCAAACTGGCGGACCGTGGGTCAGATGCATCACACGCAGGCCACATCCACCCTGGCTCCGCAAAGGCAAAAAGTGTCATGATATGTCACATGACGCAATCGGGTTTGACACCCATGGCTTAGAGGAGTACTTCCTATTCCCTGTAGAATGCTGCTAATAATAGATGAGACTGAACCCATTACTGCTAGGATGCTCAAAACATTATTCTAATGCAGGGGTAGGCAACCTTGGCTCTTTTATGACTCGTGGACTTCAACTCCCAGAATTCCTCAGCCAACATGGTTGGGTCAGGAATTCTGGGAGTTGAAGTCCACGAGTCATAAAAGAGCCAAGGTTGCCTACCCCTGTTCTAGTGGGTTGCCATTGTTGTTACTGTTGTCGACATTATTATTAAAATACCTACAGGTAGTCCTTGGCTTATAACCGTTCAGTGACTGTTTGAAGTTACAACGGCACTGAAAAAAGCGATTTATGAATATTTTTCACACTTACAACCCCATGGACACTTCATCAAAATTTGAATGCTTGGCAACTGGCATGTATTTATTACAGTTGCAGTGTCCTGGGGACATGTGATCGCCTTTTGCAACCTTCTGACAAGCGAAGTCAATGGGGAGGCCAGATTCTCTTAACAACTGTGTTAGTAACCTAACATCTGCAATGATTCACTTAATTGCTGTGGCAAGAAAGGGGCAAAACTGACTTAAATGTCTTGCTTAGCAACAGAAATGTTGGGCTCAATTGTGGTCATATGTTGAGGACTACCTGTAAAAAGGAGTTTCATGTGTTGTATAATACGAGTTTCATTTTTTTCCATGATAACCCTATAAAATAGGTTAGGCTGAGAGCCAAGCTTGTTCAATAAAATTCATTCTGACACAGATTTCCTCAACTCATTTCTCATTCATTAAATAATACATCAGATTATTCCCAAATTATAGATCGGATGATAAGGGAAAATGTCAAATGTAATGCAAGTTGCAGTTTATTTAATCCTGTTTCCAGGGAGGGGTATGATATATGATTGCACCTCCATAGAGATGAGGACAAGATTGGACTGCACAGTTTTTTGAGACATAACCAGCTCCTACATTGCAACAGCTGACAATGTTAAACAATATCATGCTGGCAAATGGGAACCAAGTCCCTGTTACTTTTTGTCCACCAACACAACCTATGGTTTTTCTTTTTTTTTTTTTCATGGAGAAACAACGAAACAATGAGGTTAAATGCATCCCTTTGCACGGACGTGAAAAGTATGGAGCAAGATATCTTCTAGGAAGAGAGTAATTCCCAAGATATTACATTTAGCTCTGGACTACAAACCAAACTAGGTTTGAGGTTCTAATATTGTATTTACTATAAAAGAATGAATACAGGGGTCCAGTCACAAATTGTAAGAGATTATTTTGGAAGAATCAGCTAGAAGATTAACCATCTCTAATATTTCTTTTTCTCACAACCTATTTTCTAGGATAGATCTCAGCATTCTATAGCTTGCAAGCCACAGGTAACTCCCCCCATTCCCCCCCCCCAATTGTAGAGTCTCCTCTCCCAAAGCATGTCAGAAATCCTGATTTCTTGCTGATTTTCAGCAGGAAAACAAACAAAGTAAGCAAATGTGTGTTAAGCAACAAGTAGGAAACTCTATCCTGTCCCTCCAGCAATGTCTTTGCTTCATCCCATGAAAATTGTAACTACTGAAAGAGACAGACACTCTGTCAAAAAGCTATCAGCCTCTGCTCTTGTATTTTCTAAAGTTCAGGTGTAAAAACCAGAACACTTTTCTACTTACTTCTTCAAAACAAATACTCTACAGTACTTTTTATTTACGAGAAATCTCCCCTCCACAATATGTATGCAAATAATAAGGGGTGAATATTAGATATCTCTAAACATGCAATTCTATGTTTACTTCTACAAGAATATATATTTCACTCAATTCAATGAGACTTATTCTTGTTAAATATTGACACAATTTCATTGTCAATTTAGTCTAGCTAATCTTTTTTTTTTGCAAGGGAAACATTACCTCATTTAATGGAAGCAATTCTTTATTGCGTTTTGGTTTTCAAAATGATTTACCTGTAAAATGGAAGGGTCATTTTCAAATTCACTGAGATTATGGTATGGAGATAAGCAATAACAATAGTACTTAGACATATATACCGCTTTGCAGTGCTTTAAAGCCCTCTCTAAGCGGTTTACAGAGTCAGCCTATTGCCCCCAACAATCTGGGTCCTCATTTTAGTGACCTCAGAAGAATGGAAGGCTGAGTCAACCTTGATCCAGTCAGGATCAAACTGCTGGAAGTCAGCAGAATTAGCCTGCAATATTACATTCCAAACACTGTGCCACCACCGTCTGGTCTGATCTTTCTATACAGGATAGTGCTGCTTTCAGGTAAATGTGTACCCCAGGTTTTGGGCATTATGACCTGTAGCTGAATATCTGCTCACAAAGCAAATTGAACTTCCAACTCTGATCTCTCCCCAATACAAGTAGTCCTTGACTTACAACCATTCCCTTAGTGGCCGATTAAGTTACAGCAGCACTGGAAAAATGTGATTTATGACTAATCCGCACAGATCTGATCATCACAGCATTCCCATGGTCAACATAATCAAAATTTGGGGGCTTGGCAATGGGCATGCCTTTATGACAGCTGCAGCATCCTGGGGTTATGTGTTCACCATTTCCAGCCTTCCCATCTGGTTTCCAACAAGCAAGGTCAACGGGGGCAAGTTGCAATCTGCTTAATGACCATGCGTTTCCCTTTACAACTGCAATGATTTACTTAACTGTGGCAGAAAAAGTAAACTCTGCTGTAACTCACTTAACAATTGCCTTGCGTAGCAACGGAAATTCTGGCCCAATTTGGATTGTAAGACAAGGACTATCTGTACTCGTTCCCGACTTCATTCTGCTGCAGTGTACATATTTTGTGCAAATAAAGGAGAATGATTTGTAGCTCAGGGTTGAAATGAAGGGTCCCTGGTGCTCTCTGAGCTTGCTTGTTTTCTTGCAGGCATTTCATTACTGAAACAAGGGAATGCCATCAGTGCTGTGAACCAAGAATTTTGTGCCAATGGAAACACAGGGTGGCGGGGGTGGGGAGGCAAATGGGCAATTTCCGAGTGGTTTTGCAGAGGTGATAACATTTCTGGCCATTGGAGAAGCTGGTAAAGGCGACAAAATGCAGAACCTTCAAATCAGGAGGTAAATATACAGTTTACAATTGTTTATTCCCTCATTGAGGGACTGGTCACTGAGAGACTGAGGTATCTCTGTGCTCATCTTTTTGTCAAGAAGAGCACATTCTCATTGGCTGTCTGTATTCTGCAAGTGCTGCAGATCCTGATGTATGCAAATAGGTCTGTCGGCACAGCATCCTAGTTAACTTAAATATTTCTGAAATCCTGATTACTTTCAATTATGAAATCAAAAGCCTGAATGGTGAAAAAGGCTGATTGTATTCAAATACTCCGAGTCCTACATCTGAAGAGCAAACTCTTTTCTTGCCACACTCACACATTTGGTCCTTTCTTTCCAAGAAGATAATTTTTAAAAACCTCTCACCACAAAAAGATTTGTGCTATATGTTAAGGAATACTAATTCAAGAAGATGCCTCAAGAAGTAACCAACCATTCATCTATATTTACAAATTACTGAGATATATGCTGGATCTATTTAATTTTTTTTTGCTATAATAAGTTTGCATATTTTGTCCTTTTGGATGGTAATAATATTTTGATGCTTTTCAAGGATCAATTTATGCTGTATCTCTATTACTTTTTTTGTATTAGATTTACACATAAATCCAATTCAGAGTTCACCTGGATGCAAGGAAATTCCACCCATCATTTGCTTTCATTCAGTACTTTGTTTTTACCAAAAAAGCAACCTTTCTTTTTAAGACCTAATTCAGCTTGGTGGTGTTGTTGTTTTTACAAAGATTGTAATCTTAAGTGCAGTAAACTTCGGATCATAGTGTTAACTGAAGCTGTTCTTAGATGCCATAAAACACTGGAATCTGGATCTATCCCTCCTTTCAGTTATTGCCTGCAGTTGCCCATCATCTTATACAATTGTGATCTCCCCCTGGTCGTAGAAAAATCCATTCCAAATGATAAAATGTACACAGTGTGGGTCTCTTTAATTTGCCAAGAAGGAATCAATGTGATTTAATCTTTCTAAATAGATGTGCAACATCTCTGTCAAAACAAGATTTAACCCAACTTTAATAGTTTCTTGGCATGGCACGAGCTGACACCAGCCCTCCTAAGAGCATTTCATTTTCCATCCATGTATTCCCTCTATTTGCTCTATTTCGTTCTTGACTGGGAGCTGCTGACATATAATGGGTGTCTCCAAACAGACAGCAACCATTCTCATTCCTGGATATTGTCTTGCAGCTACTAATTAAATCAGACTTGAAAAGGGGAAAAGAACATGTTAGAGAAGGGAAGACACTTAGGATAGCTCTTTGGTCGAAGGAGACACTTCTGTTGCCAGCTTCTTCTCCTGCTGCCTTCCCTCACTGAATCAAACAAGCAGCACTGGATCCAAGCAGCAGGGGTAGGTACGGAAATGGTAGACATTGAAGAACATAAGTAAAAGGCCTTGGGTGGTTAAAATTAATATCTGAGTTTAGTTACATTTACACTCCCATCTTTTATCAAAGATGGGAGTGTAAATGTATTACACAAGATCTTTTTATTCTCTTCAGGAATAAAACTTGAACTGAGTCAAGTCATAGCCTCCTGTTGTACCTGGCTATAGCTGAGCCACTCAAAACATCAGAGAGGCAAAGAGAGACCCATCAAGAGCCTCGGGAATAGTAGGAGCTATCTTTCCGTGTCACTCTAACTTAGCTCAACCATAGCTAATTCAATCATGATTTACTAATTTAACCCATAAATGGCTGCGTTTGTTTAACATACTAAGCTAAAACTCATGGATAGTTGGGATCTAACAAAAATCAAAGAAACCACATTCCTGATTAATGTGGGTGCCTTTCTCTTCTCTTTAAGTCAGAAAAAAAAAGGTTATCCTATTGTGTTGTTGTGGTTGGAAAAAAGATCGGATTGCAATGATCTCTAGATTGGGAGAGGAGCATACGGATACTTGCACATATTTGGGTGCACGTATTATCTCAGCACATCATTTTGATCATTGCTCTTCATGTTACAGGTGAGAGGTGGATGAATGCACTTCACAGAAACCAAGTTGAAACTAAAATCGGGAATCCTGACTAGGCAGCCCTCATTCTCAGCAGTTGGGAAGAGCTGAAGAATGAGTTGGGGATACAGATGAGGAGATCAAAGTAGAGGTGTGTGGGGGGGTATTATTACACTGCACAGAGCCTCTCCCTTCACATAACCCATACATCCACCACCCTGCAGAAGAATTGGGAATCCAACTGCCAGTCAAAACAGCCAATGGGAACCCTCAGACATCTGAAGGCACATACCAAACAAAGCTGCCCAAGATGCTTCAGAAACATCCACTTTTCTTTAGGAGCAAACTGGGCAACACAGTAAACACCATCATGTACCATTAGGGTTTGTTTTTTTCTACCAGCCAGAATAAAGGCAGTGCAACGGGAAGAAGCCTCACTAAGGATCTGTTGCTAGGAAGAAGCTTCTCTTAACGCACTTTGACTCTAACCCAGCTGAGAGGGAGGGCATGCAAGCCAACTCAGGCGTCCATCCCATCCGTGGATGAGGCTCTAAGTAAAACATGCAACAGATTACACATCTTGCTCCTTGTGCGCTCTGCTTGCTCGGGAAAGAAAAGTTCATTAAATGCAAGGGAATAATTTCCAAAATGAGCGCGCCCACGACAGCAGCCTAAAAAAAAAACAAAAAAAAAAACAACAACCAAAAGTGCGTAAGCAACGTGAGACTCGAACTAGCACTTTACAATCAGATCTGCTTGATTATCGATCGGGACCAGTCTCACTTCGGTCCTTCCTCGATCAGGAAGTTTTCCCACCTGTAACTCTTTTCCTAATACTTCGAGCCCTCTACCCGCCACCCGATCGTGGTGCACCACCAACTCTCCTCCAAGATCACTTACGAGGTCTGAGTCTCAGTGTTTCACTCGCTCGCTCTCTCCTTTCTTCCCCCGGTGCACGCTTCAATTCGGGGGGGCGCGCGCCTCTTTTCGGCTCCCTGGTCCAAATGAATCCGTTGCAGCTGTTGGCGATCGAAAGATTCCCTCCGAAGCGCAGAGGAAGCCAGAGCGGCGCTCGGCGCTGCTCTGCTCCTGGAGGAGCCCTTAGATAGGAAAGGCAGGCGGTGGGGCGGAGCGAGGGAGCGCAAGCGGCGGATCCCGAGCTCGTACGCAGATGGAGCTCAAGGCACAGGGGCGCTGGAAAAGCGCTCCGCGGATGCACCCGCCGGGACGGAGCACGCTCGCTCCAGCCACTCCCCCCGTCCGATAATTATCCTGGCTGCTCTTCACCGAGCTGTGTCACGCCAGGGTTGCGATGCAATCAGGGAACGCTAAAGTCCACCTAGCACCGAAATCGTGCTTGCCAAGATAGGGCAGCCTTTCGAGAAGGGATCAATCATTGCAGCAGACGGGGAGAGGGACAGGAGCGGGGGGGGGGAGTGTTCGAGGTTGCCCAGGCGGGGAACACGGGAGGGCAGAGGCAATTGCCAAGAAGGTAACTCCGGGGGTAGCACGCCCCAGGAAACGTCTGGCATTTGATGCAATCGCAAACAGGCCGAAGGACGCTCGGTCTGCAAACTCGGCGCGTGGCCAGAGGAGCCCGTGACGTCCCGCGCGCCTCTCTCCCGGAGCTACCAGCGGAGAGGCTGGAAAGAGGGATCAGCAACTAGTGGCCCGGGGCTTAATGTGGCCTTGCCACTAATTCAGAGATACAGGTATCAGCGTAGCGGGATTTGCTCCGGAGCCAACCCTGGATGCAACGGAGGAGGCATCTTTGGAAGGCAATGGCTCCGCAGCAGATGGAGAAGTGTTGTGTGGTGGGAGGAAACAATACTTCCTTAGAAACCTGCTTTGCTATTTTCTTGGAAGGGGAAAAAGAAAGATGGGAGTTGAAAGATGGGAGATATCCTCCAGCTACAGATCCATTTCTGTGATGCTTCCCCAAAATGCTAAAGCTTAATCACTTGAAGGCTAACCAAGAGGAGCCTTCAGCACCCGCAAGGAGTAATGCTGAACTGAGTTTGACTTATTATGTACTGTAATGCTGATTCGGATCCAGCTTTATTCATACACCCAATATTTTTCTCTGGACTCATCCTGATGGTCAGATTAAAAGTCCAATCCATCGGCTCTTGAGAAGGCAGGAAATAACATAGGCATAAATTGCCCATCGCAGATCCCTATTCTGCCATAGTAACAAGGCCAAGTAATTGTGCTCTCCGTGCCTATTTATTGTGAGTCAAATGACAGAAAGTGCTGCAAGGGGATTCCAATGAACAACAAAGAACCTGATTCTGATTATGTGGCCAGTAGCAGCAGGTCCATCACGGGACCTTGTAATTCTGATTGGCCCGTTTCTTGGGCTGAAAGAATGTGACTGGTCTAAGATCCAAGATCACTCTTGTCCAATGGGAGCATTGTCTGGTCAGGCTGAGAAAGATATTTTTGTATGAATAAAAAAATAGGAAAAAGTTTTCAATATTTTTCCCATTTTACTATCAGCAGAAGCAGTTTAATTTAAAATAGACTATATGGCATCAAAGCTATCAAAACTCAGAAAAAGCTAGTTCTCTTTACTGAATCAGAGTCAGAATAGAGCTGAAAGGGACCTTGGAGACCTTCAGGTCCAGCCGCCTGCTCAAGTAGGAGATGCTATACTATTTCAGATAAGTAACTGTCCAGTCTCATCTTAACCCCCCCCCCAGTAATGAAGCACCCACAACTTCTGAAGACAAGTCATTTCAGTGGTTAATTGTTCTCACTGTTCGGAAGTTTATCCTTCATTCCAGGTTGCTTCTCTCCTTGATTAATCTCCATCCATTGTTTTTTGCCCTGCCCTCTGGTGCTTTGGAAAATAAGTTGACCCCCTCCTCTTTGTGGCAACCTCTCAAATACTGGAATACTGCTATCATGTCCCCCCCAGTCCTTTTCTCTAGATTAGCCAAATCCAAATCCTGCAACTATTCTTCATGTTTTTGTCTCCAGGCCTTTAATCATCTTAGTTGCTCTTCTTTGTACTTCCAGAGTCTCAACATCTTTTATGTAACGTGGTGACCAAAACTGGATGCAGTATTCCAGGTGTGGCCTTACTAAGGCTTTATAAAGCGGTACTAATACTTCACATGATTTTGATTCTATGCCTCTGTTTATACAACTAAGGATTGTATTAGCTTTTTTGGTGGCTGCCGCACACTGCTGCCTCATATTTAAGTGATTGTCCACTAAGTCTCCAAGGTCCCTCTCACGGTTATTGTTTTTGAGCCAGGTTTCACCTGATCTGAACTAATATCTTTGGTTTTTCCTGCTAACATGTAAAACCTTGCTTTTCTCCACATTAAATTTCATTTTGTTGGATAGGGCCCATTGTTCAAGTCTGTCAAGATCTTTTTGGACCCTGAGCTTGTCTTCTGGGGTGTTGAATACTCCTGCCAGCTTAGTGTCATCTGCAAACTTGATGATACTATTCCCTCATCTAAGTCATTTATGAAGATATTGAAGAGAACTGGGCCTAAGACAGAACCTTGTGATACCCCACTGCTTACTTTCCTCCATGTAGATGTAGTACTATTAAGGATGACTCGTTCAGTACAGGTTGTCAGCCAGGTACAAGTCCATCTGGTGGATGCCTGCAGTTGCCTATCATACCCATACAGTTGTGATCTCCCCCCTGATATCAGAAAAATCCTTTCCAAAGTAAGTTGTGGTCTACTTTGTCAAATGCCTTGCTGAAGTCTAAGTATACTAGGTCCACAGCATTTCACTGATCTACTAGTTTAGTCACTTTGTCCATTTGTCAAAGAATGAAATAAGATTGTTTTGGCATGATCTATTTTTAAGAAACCCATGCTGACTTTCAGTTATAACTTTATTTGTTTCTAGATGTTTGCAGATCTGTTTTTTATTATTTTTTCCAGTATCTTCCCACATATTGATGTTAGTAAGGTGACCAACCATCCTCCTTTAGGGAGGACAGTCCTCCTTTTTAAAGTTCTGTCCTCCCTCGAAAAGTGTCCTCCTACATGTCCTCCTTTTCAATAATTGAAGATTAATCTGCAGGGCTTTTTTTTCTCATAGAATGCTCAGAACAGTGTTCCGGCACCTTTTTTTGATGGTTTTTTTTTTCAATTTTTGCATGAGCTGTGCTACTCCCCCTATTGGCTTTCAAAAGCCAATAGGAATTGCTGCTGAGCGCGCCAAAACACCCAGCCGTTTTTGCACATGTAAGTTGTCTGCAGCGAAGGCAAATTGGCAGGAACTTTGCACCCCTCCTGCTACCCAACTACACTATCTCCTACCTGGAGGAGACTGGAGCAGCGATGCCACGGTAACTTTCTCTTGATCTTCAGCCCTGCAAGGGCAATAATGGCTATGGGCACAAGAGGCAGGGGTGGCAGGGCTGCTGTGGGCAGGGGTGTGAGGGGCGGTGGTGGCCAGCCTCCCCTGTGCTGTGGGAGCTGCGGGGCCTGCTCTACATGGGGCTGTGCAGGGTGGGCAGTGGGTGCTGATGGGGTGGCTGTAGGCGGGGTGTGTCGATGGCGGGCTGCCCCCCAGAGCCAGAGCCGGTGCAGTGGTGCTTTGGGAGCCGCGGGGCCCGCTGTACACGGCAGGGCAGCAGTGCTGGCGGGGCGGCTGTGGGCAGGGCACGGCATGTAAACATAATTACAATATAAAATGTTATTGTTACAAATGTTTTTTATTATGATTTATCACATTATAGTGTATTCTGTATTATTGTTGCAATGAATAAAATGTTTCTTTTATTTACGATATTTTTTTCTTCAATTTATTTGTGTCCTTTTCATTGTAAAAAAGGTGTTCACCTTAATGTTAGGCTGGTTGGTCTATAGTTGCCTGGGTTGGTTTGTTTGTTTTTTTTTTCCTTTTGTGAAGATACGAATCAAATCAGCTCTTTTCCAGTCCTCCACTTCTTGGTGTGTCAGGATTTTTGAAAGATATGGTGCAATGGTTCTGAGATAACATCTGCCAGTTCCCTCCGAACTTTGGGGTGTATATTTATATTCATCAAGATCACATAGGTCAGTGTTTCTCAACCTTGACAATTTTAAGGCATGTGGACTTCAACTCCCAGAATTCCACAGCCAGCAATGCTGGTTGTGGAATTCTGGGAGTTGAAGTCCACATGCCTTAAAATTGTCAAGGTTGAGAAACACTGACATAGGTGTTCTCTAACCATTTTCTTGCTTATTGTAATTTTTATTTCTGATCAGTCTTTTACAGTTACGTTTTTGGTAGGTTGGACTATAGTTTCTTTTTGCACGAAGACTGGTGCAAAGAATGAGTGAAGCAGTTCTGCTTTTTCTCTGCTTCCTGTTACTTCCTTGCCATCTTCTCTCTTAAGTGGACCTACCGATTCCTTGACTTTTTTCTTGTTATTTATATGTTGAAATAAACTTTTTTTTAATCTTTGACTTTTGTTGCCTTTGTTCATGCTGAGCCTTTGCTTTCCTGGCTTCATCTTTGCAGATTCAGGCGGTCTGCTGATACTCTGCCTTAGTCATGTGTCCCTCTTTCCATTTTTTGTACTTGTTCTTTTTGTCTTTCAGTTTATCAGAGAGATCTTTGTGTAACCATGCTGGTTTCTTCTTGGATTGCTTGTTTTTCTTTTTTCAGTGGTATTGTGCTGGACTGATGGCATTTTTTCAGACTTTCCCATGCTTCTTGAGTTGTTTTCCCCTTTAGGATTTTCATCCATGGAATTTTTCTTAGACTGTTTGTTAAAATCAGCTCTTTTGAGACACTGCTGGATTATGTTCTATTGCTTGTATCTGCATTTATTGAATTCCAATATGATATGGTAACTCTCACCCAATGTTCCATCAACTTCAACCCCCCCCCCCCATCCCTTATTCTCTATTAGTAAGGATTAGGTCCAGTATAGCTTTTCCTCTAGTTTCCTCCTCTGGCTTTTAGATGGCAAAGTTGTCAGCTAGGTTGGTAAGGAATCTATTTGATCTCCCACTTGTAGCAGAGTTTGTCTCCCAATTGATATAAGGGTAGTTAAAGTCTCCCATAACTACTGTGGTATATTCCCTACATACATTTGTTAATTCTTTAGAAAAAGTTCATCTATTTCTTCTGCTTGGTTAGGTGGCCTGTAGAATACGCCTAGAGCAATGACATTTTTTCCTCTTTTATATTGACTGATACGGATTCTAGGAGATTTTTATCCTTGGCTTTGTAGATTTCTGTAGATATGCATTAATATATAATGCAACTCCATCCCTTCTTT